AGAGTAGAACTGTGCCATATGGTTTCCAAGGAGCAGCTGCTGGATTCAAACTGCTGACCTTTTGGATAGCAGCCAAGCTCTTAACCACTGTACCACCAGCAAACACTAATATTTCAGAAGTGTGCAGTCTCTCAAATCAAAAACCTAGCAATTTCCCTTGACTTCTTTCTGTCTCTCTCTCTCTCACCCCCACATCCAATCCATCTAATCCATTACCAAGTCCTGTCACCTCTACCTTCACAAACTATCTAGAATCCATCTCCTCTCTATCTCCACTACTACCATGCAGTTCCAGCCCCAGCATCTCCACCGAGCCTAGACCACTGCAAAAGCTTCTTAAATACACCCACTCTTGCCCACACCACTCTCATGCATCCTCCACCTAGCAGACAGACTGATCTTTAAAACTACATCAGATCACCTCATGCCTCTACTTAAAATTCTGCTATTGCTTCCCACTGTCTCTACTTAAAATCCTGCTATCGCTTCCCACTGCACTCAATTTGCTCCTTGCTTACCCACAACTCATACCAGTCACCTCCCTGACGGGTTGTTCCAGGCACACTGACCTTTTTTCTGCTCTTCATGGGAGCTAAGAAAATTCCTGCCTCAGAGACTTTGTGTTGTGCTTCTCTCTAACTGGAATGCTCTCTCTCTCAGACTTTTACCTGACTGACAGCCACTTGCCATTCAGACCTAAATCAAGGCAGACCATCTTGTCTAAAGCTGCTGTCAGTCACTGGGTAGCACACATTGTTTTAATTTTTTTTCCTTAGCATTTATTATGATTTAAAATTATTTAATTTGCTTTCTCTGTAAGAATGAGGTCCTAATTTGTCTTGTTCCCTGTTGTATCCTAAGTGCCTACAATACTCTGTGGCCCACAATAAACATGCAAATGTTTGTTGCTTGAATAAATAAGTAGGAAGGAGACTGAGAAGAGACAGTCAGAAAGCTGGAGTTAAAAGAGTAGATGCTAAGAGAAGAGTCTTAAGGAGGAAGTCAAGAACAATTACTAAGAAGCCACTGGATTTAGCAATTCCATCCCAAGTGTCCTTTAAGGGGGCAATTTCAGAAGAGGTAGAAGGCAGATTACAACGGGCTAATGAGTAAATGAGAAATTGAAGTGGCAAGTGCAAATGGAGGGAAAACTATGGAACAGTAGATTGAGAGTGAGAAAAGACGAAGAAAGGTCTGGTCAGTGTGGAGAATATTTACTCGTTTTCAAGCTGATGGAAAGGATCCAGTGGAAAAGGGGATTTTGAAGATTAAAAACGAAAAGCGGGGGCTAGCATAAGGGCCCAGGTGTTATGGAAAGAAATGGGATCCTAAGCCACACTAGTCTCTCTTATCAAAACAAAACAAACAAAAAAAACCCGATCCCACATGATTACAGTACAGTATCCGTTTTATGTTCAGAAATACCTACTCCCTGGAAATAATTTAAAAGGTTTATTTAAGGTAATCTGCAGAATTCTTCCGAAGTTCTTCCTACAAAATCATTATTAAAATTTTGCACGCCTTTCTTGCTCTTAGGAGGTACACAGTGGGGTGTTTGGGGGCAGAGAGCTATGATGTGTGCAGCCTACTCTCAGGAGGTTCAGAGAAGAAAAAGTTGAGAGAGGAGAAGGGTGAGGGAAGATAGACATAGAGAGGGAGAGAGGGAAAAAGAGCGAGTGTGCAAATGATAAAGCAAATGGGGTACAATGTTGACAATGGGTTATCTAGGTGAAGGGTATCCAGGTGCTCTTTGTTCTATGGGTGTAGCTTTTCTGTAAGTTTGAAATTATTACCAAATAAAAGATTTTTAAAAAAGAGAAATTTCACACACCTAAAACTAAGTAGGGAAAACAACTTCCATGATGAATGGTTGGCATGCAACTGTTAAATTTCTTTGTCAACTATCACAGCCACTTAGAAGTAGTTCCTCTCTGCTCAGCAGCAAAAGTATAACAATGGTTGATAAAGGGAATGGACATAAATTTTTATAGTGTTGTTCAAGTTATTGTAAAAGACTTTTTATTTATAGAATATTTGTATAAACATAATCTGGCATCCCTAATAAAACATCAATCCTACCTATTTATTAGCATACTACCTTTAAAAAAAAAAAAAGGGCATACACAGTGTAACGAAAACCTAATAGGGTCATTCCTTGACAACTAAAATAGAAATAAAAGTCTGAAAGCACTCTTCCTGATTCATCTCTAACTAACAGAGTAAGGAGATAATTGGTTGAGATTTTGCTGTGGTGATATACTAAGAAGGAAAAAACAGAACAAAACCGAAGGTGAAATCTATTAAGAAATTTGATCCCTGTTCAGTTATACAGATGGCTTACTGATGGTAGCTTTGGAGATGAAATGGTTGCCTAACAGTACTACAGCACACTTAGGGAAAAAGCAAAAACTAAAAACTTTATGAAAAGAATATTAATGAGATCAAACACATGTAGAGGTTGTTAAAAGTAACACTGACTAAGAGACGCCTCCTCTCCATCTGTCTGTGCAAAGCTGTGCTCTCCAAGCTGAAATCGTAGTCAAGGACTCCCTCTCAGAACTGAATGAGCCACTAAAACTGAAAATGGCCACTGTTCTTCGTGATACTATCTTCCATTCCTATATCCCCATTCCAACACCAAAGAGCTCCGTTAAAATAACTTGTGAGCCTGAAACGAAAAGGGTCACTTATCCTAGTAGAGAATTGAAGAACAGTTCAACACTCATAGATCATGGTATTACATGATAAGCGATAACACAGCACATCTGATCAGGCTCTGAGACCCCGAGGAACGAACGACAAGTCAGATTCCAGTTCTAACACACTCAAAATTGATTTCTCTCCAAAGCATGCCCAGATTCTCTCCAGTAATTCAGATGAAGGTAATGATACAGGGTATAAATTCTTAACATAACTTCAAACAGAAATTTAATCAATTCTAGTTAAGTGCTTGGCTACTAACCAAAAGGTTGAAGGCGATCTACTTTGAAAGGTCACAGGCATTGCAAACCCTAAGGAGCACAGTTTTACTCTGAAACACATGGAATTGCCATGAGTCGGAATCAGCTTGACAGCAATTGGTTTGGCTTTAACATGCATTTTAGGAGGTGTTCAAGGCAACTATATGCGTGTAAAACTAACATTTTTTATAAGCTTTCATTATCTACTTAAATTGGAATGACCATCACTACTCTTGCAGGCTGTCCTTAAAATAGAGTTGTTAGTCAAGGTGGCTCATGAAGTTAAAGCCATTTTGCTTTTTGAGGTTAGACTATAGGAGCATATGTTACTAAGTAGAGTACTACAACTTTAATATCAATCACTCAACACTCATGCTGAAGGGCTAAGACGTGCACTGTGCTGTGAGTCAAAGGCCCTCCCTGCTTTCAAGAGCTTACAGTCCAGTGGGAAGACACGACCTAAAGGAGTCTGTGACTATGTGCTAAAAGTAAACAGCATAGACAATACGGTTGCTAAATGTTCTGACAAAGAAGATACTGATTGCTGTGGGCTGGGGTGATCAGAGACGAGCTTTAAAGAGGAGAAAGAAGATGAGCAGGACTTGGAAGGATGGCAGGATTCTGAAAGGTGGGGAGGAGGGTCCTGCACGAAGCTTTTCAGTCTATGAAATATTTCCACATTCAACACTCATTTGAGTCTTACAAGAACCCTGGGGGATAAGAAGCCAAACATACCCCCGGTTTACAGGCTGAAAAAAGTTGAGGATGAGAAGACCTGACCAGTCGATACAATAAGCAATGAAATCTGGGTCTGAATCTATGTATTCTGTCTTTTAGTCCAGCAGTCCAGGCTAGTGTGGGTGAGAATGAGAAAAACGATTCAACCAGAGCAAAGACCTGTGGAGGGGATGTGGAAAGATGGATTAAGCCAGACTAGTCCAGAAAGTCAAGCCAAAGACTTTGAATTTCATCCCTTCGAGCAATCAAAGGGTTTTTTTTTAGCATTATGACAGTAGAGTTTTAGAAAGATACCTTTCTCAGAGAGGAAGGAAGGAAAAGACTCTCTAAAGGAAGACTCTTTAGGCTAATGAGGGGAGAGTACTGCAACGGCCCAGGTGAGAGGTACTAATGTGTCAATTAGAAAATACAGAGAACAGACTAGGATAACATCTGTTTTAAACTATAAATTACCAGGAAAAGAAAAAACAAAAATCTTATTGTCTCCTTCCCCCTTTTAGAAATCTGTTTCAGAGAGGAAAAAACCCTCTACGAAGAAATTTCACGAATTGTCAACTGATAACCCAATGGGTACAATAATTTATCAGTAAACTATTATCACCAGAGATTTTAAATAGGCCTGTACCTTAAAACTGAAATCATCAACAAAAATCGACAACACTACTGCGGGAATTACAGCTTACAAATTTCAGGGTCTCCCGAACAAGGAATACTTTCCTGCAATTCAATAAGCAGTACTATGCATTTTACTAACATTTCCAAAGACTCTGACTTTTCCATTCAGAACAGTTTGATTTGGTGAACTCAAGGCCGATTTATTTCCATATTTAAGCCCTGACCCTGCTTGCAGCACAGGACCTTGCAAAGAACAAGGACCCAATAAACATTTGCTGAATAAATGCGGCTAATAAATACCGTGCAAGAACAACCCCTACATTACAGGCAACTCTAACGCAGGTCTGTTCCAAAATCAAGCTCCCACAATTTCGGATACAAGTCTGGAAGACAAACGATTCAGATGACCTTCATTAGCCTTCAACTGGGGCCTAATATTAAGTTCTTACGGTAATGTTTTCCCAAAGCAATGCCACAGTGCCACTTCCCGAAGATGACAACAGCTCCAGTACCCTGCCATGCTCCCCTCCCTCCGCCGGACTCAAGAAGTTGCGGCACTCGGAGAAGTTTCGAAGCGGCCCGCCTCGGCGCCAGGGAGATGCGATTTTGGTAGAAGGGAAAGCGCCGACACCTGCCTGCTCCGCTCCCCGGCGGCCCAGGCCCGGGAAGCGCCGCCGCCCTACTCACCGCGACCGGACGGCCGTGCTCGGAGCCGTCGGCGGCGTCCAAGCGCTGGGCTGGAGCGGGCGCTGGGGCCGGTGCGGGTGGCTGCCGGTGCTTGCCGGCGCGCTTGGCCTTGGCCTGGATGCAGCGCTGGTGCAGGGCGAAGGTGTGCTGGCGTTCGAGCTCCAGGCGTTCCGGCGACACGGCCTCGTAGCGGGCCTCGCAGGTGCTGTGGTGGCGCCGGCACAGCTCGATGCGCCGGCGGAGGCGCTCCATGACCGCGCTGTGCCGCGGCAGCGCGAACTCCGCCATGGGGCAGGGGGGCAGCACCATGGGCCGCAGGCTGAGCGGGCCGGGCCCGGGGCCGGGCCTCTCGGGGCCGGCTGATAATGCGGGCTCCGCTCTCGCCGGCGGCCCCGGTCCGCCTCACGGCCGCGCCATAGCCCCGCGAACTGCGGAGCCGATTCGCGCTGCGACGGATGGCGGCGGGCCTTCCTCTTGCCCTGCTCGGCCGCCCCCGGGCCGGCGCTCGCAGCCCACCTCAGGCCTCGGCCTGTCCCCGCCGCCCCGGCCCCATTGTTTTCCGCGCCGCCGCAGCCGCCATCTTAAAATTGTTTTCGGAGGTCTCGGAAGAGGGCGGAGCCTCGGGCAGAGACCTCGAGCGCCATGGCTGACGAACAGGGACTCCGACCAATCAGAAACGAAGCGCCGGCCACCCGAGGGTGTGGGGACACGCACGTAAGCGGCGTGCGTAGTCTCCCGGGCGGTATTTAAAAGGAACTTAGGGAGGGCGGAGGATGCTCCGGGGGGCGGGCCTCGCCCTGGAGACGGAGCCGGTCGGAAAGGCGGTGACTGGAGGCTTTCTGAACACCGCCCCGGAGGCAGGCCCTTCCGGGTGCTCCGAGGTAAGCAGGGAAGTGAGGGCACAGGGAGGGGGGAAGGTGGGTGGATCAGACGTCCGCCTGGCAGTGCAGCATTTCACGGTTCTCTTCTCCTCCAACCTCCCTTTGAATTCGGTTTTGATAAGCTTGAAATAGCCAGGCTATTTCAATGTCAGCTGTTTTCCTTTGACCTCATTCCTTACATCCAGCCTCATAATTGATGAGAGTAACTAATTGGTCAAGTGAGCTGGAAGTTTTCTTTTCCGCACCATTCGGAATAACTGGTGCTGTCAATAACTTCCACTGTTTAAAAAAGTTGGAACAAATTTCAAAAGCTCGGTTGCTCACTACTTTAAAAAAAAAGAAAAAAAGATATGAGGAAGGCAGTGTGAAGGAGAGTCCAGCTCTATTACAAAGGATGGCGGGGCAGTTACTGCTTAAACGGAGTACCGAGTTTCGGTTTACAGTGATGGGAAAATTACATTCATTAAGGGGTTGCAAAGCTGATTAATGTGATTGCTGTAAATAAGTTGAAAATACTGAACTGGCAAAAGTTGTGAGGTATTTACAACAATGACCAAAACAAAACGAGTAGCTGCTGAGGTTATTTATGTACAACCAGATACCTCATGGGTTTCGTTCCTTGGTTTAGAAGTTTAGGGTCACGGTTTCATTGGACATCCCAGTTAACTGGCATAAAACTTGCAAGCTGCAATCCAAGGCACATCAGTTGGTCTCTATTTGCCTGGAGCAACAGAGGAAGGAGAGTTGGGAACAGGAGAAAATGCAATATGCGACTATTTGCCTCCACGAACTGCCTCCTTTGCTATGAGACCAAAAGTACTAAATGGTGCCTGGCTACCATTACTGAACATTTTGATCAAAGATTCTATAGCAGAATCCTGATCAAAAGGTGGAAAATGCAGAACAGACCTTCAAATTCTCATGGCTCCAGACTTTCTGGAGTCATGGAGGCTGGATGAACCCCTGAAACTACTGCCCTGAGATAATCTTTAAACCAAAAACATCTCCTGAAGTCATCTTAAAACCAAACAATAGTTTAGCTTAACTAGTAAAGAATATTTGCCTTAAGCATCATGCTCTTTTAAGTATGGGATCAAATTGACAACAGCAGCTCCAAAGAATAGATAGGAACCTTAGGGGACAGTGAGTTTATTAATGGGGGAGGAACAACTAAGAAAAGGAGGGTGAGAATGGTTGCATGTCTCAAAGAATGTAATCAAAGTCACTGATTGTACATATAGAAACTGCAGAATGTTTGTACATATAGAAACTGCAGAATGTGGTGTATGTTTCTGCTGTGTATATTCTCAACAAAAATAATTTAAAAAAAAAAATTACAAAAGATGATACTTCAATCAAAACCAGGGAGACTGGACTGCAGGCTTTACATTTAGAAGATGGTCTGTTGGATACAACTGAGGACAATCAGTTCCTGCTCACTTGGCTCTAGTACTATATCTAATAGGCAAAGGGGGTGAGGGGACTGTCAGGAAAAAACAGGCACAATGAAATGGAGCTAGTACTAAGACTAGACAGTCTATCATGTTGGGCCAAGTGATATTAGGAACAGGTACTGGCACCTTAACTGCTAACAGGTAAATAAGGTGGTGCCAGAAAGAGGCTGCAAATGGAGAGGACCCATCAACAGCACAAACATGGTAAACTTTTTACCAGGGCTTACCCATCCATTAGGCACAGTGCCTGGGACCCACAATACTTTTAGAGGCTCATCAAAGTTTTAAAGTCAGAAGAAAAAAATCGAACTTTTAAGGTCAAATACCGTTTTTATACAAATGCAGTCAAGAAATACAATTTTTAATATTTTTATGAAAGAAGTTGCCCACCAACGCAGAAGTATCTAGGGCCCATCAAGGTCATAATGCAGTCCTGCTTCTTACTAGTCTCTAAACAGTTTACTCAGAATTAAATAATTTCTCTTAATAGAGGAAAAAAAGCAACTAGGTACACTGTATTTTGTGTACTCACTAAGCGATTCAAAAGCTTTGTAGATAATAGAAAAGTTATTTTAGCATAACTTTCAAAAACATCCCTAAAATATGTAAAACTAATGAAAGATGGGAGTCTGGTTCCAAACAAAAATTTTTCTAATAAAAATTTAGAAGTTCAGTGGTTCTCGTAAGTCTTAAAGAATATTATCTATAAATCATCAGTAGCATCCCTTCCCTTTCTGAGCTGCTGTCCCTATTATGGAGCTCTGGTGGCACAGTGGTTAAGGGCTTGGATGCTAACCAGAAGGTCACCAGTTCAAATCCACCAGCTGCTCCTTGGAGACTCTACGGGACAGTTCTACTCTGTCCCATCAGTTGCTATGAGTCTGAATCGACTCGATGGCATCGGGTTTTGGTTTTATCTCTATTACACAATAGAAAAATACTGAACCACAATCCAGCAGGAAGAGGAGGTAAGAAATATAAAAGATTGAATCAAGCTCATGTCGTCAGATAAAGTAACAATTATTCCACAGTCCATAACAGTTTCTGCATATTAGCAAAGTCTCAAGAAGCGGCTGATTAAAGGAAGATTAACCCACTACTGAAAGAGTAAAATATGCACATTGAAGGTCACACGTGAAGAAGTTCAGTCAAAAGTAGGCGTTACCATAGGGCTTTAATGCAATACCACTTAGTGACATGACAAAATGGAAAAAGTACTTTGTGGGTAAGTTAAGGAGCATATCTGAGAGGGGGCATTTTACAATATTGGGATATATAACTAGCATGTAAAATCGTAAGTGCCTTTTTGAAAGCTAAGAACTGCTACTGATCATTCATTCATGTGTCAGACATTTAATCAGGAGGCTGTACCTTGAACCAAAGAGTGAAAAAAAGAACCAAGAAAAGGCATTTTGTTATTTTGGGTTTTTTTTAGAGGGGTGGAGAGGGGGCAATGAACACTCTAATGACTTAACCTGTCATCCCACAGCTCAGATGGAAGAAACTAGGAGCATGGAGTATAACTTCAATGGCACAGTGAAGAAGGCAGACTCCTGGAAATGCAATGATCCCACACATTTACTTCAAGGAGGAACCTGCAGACATATTTTCAGGTCTTGCTAAGTAACTGTTTATTTGCACTCAATACATTTGGGAAAGCTGGCTACATAGCTAAGGCCATCATGACCACAGAACAACAGATGAAAAGGATAAAGCACTGAACAGCAAGAAAAATGCATCTGACCCTTCAAAGAATTTAAGTGAACCAGTAAAAAGGTTGAAGATAAACAAAATAAACAGATAACAGCCTTCATCTTTTATGAATGTCCTTCTTCCCCAATGCCTCCCCAATATAAACACTATGGAGCGTTTATATATTCAGTGCAAGGAACAGTATCATTGGTACATTTGAAATACCTCTGAAGAAAGAAAAAAGCTAAAATAACATCTAATTCTGAATACATTTCAGTGTGGTGTAATAATAATATCATTACACTATATTGATGGGGGAGAGGCTCTGATAGCACCCATCTGCATTTCGCATGAAAAAATAAATCTAAGATCACTTAAAAAAAAAATCTACAACCACATACTTAAAAACAAATCTGAACAAAATTCCTTTATTGTGTAATTTAAGACACAACTGTTACATAACTGCAAACAAAGACATGAAAGATTTAGCAGCTAGGAAAATCGGTAACTCATGCTATATCTCAGTCCTCCCATAAATACTTTTAGCCTGTGTTCAATTACAATACAGTCAATTCTGAATTGCCTCTGGATTAGACTTCTAAAGTCTTTACAAAGAATAAAATGGATGAAAATTTAAAATTGTATTCTATCCTGTACTTTGACCCTGAAAAGGTGTGGGTCTGCAAAGGAAAAAGAAACATACACATAATCACAATAAAGCTTAACACTATGCAGAGCTTATAATCATTTTTCAGCAGCGGACAGCAAGCTGTGCTGTGAAGAAAATGCAGAGCAGAGGAGAAAGCAGGGAATTTGGGGGAACAGGTAAGGAAACAGGAAACAGTGTCAACACAGTGGAAGAAGTGATTTAAAACATATCTGCATCTACTCCAGAGCTCACATGCCCTGCTAGCGTTCCTTTAAAAGTCGCCTGTTGGAGAAGGCCAGAGACCAGACACCCGCTGTGTGTGAAGTATGAATGCCCCAGTACCACATTAAGCCACCTCCTCCACTAACTGCAAAGCTGTCTGGGAACTGAGCAGTTCCAAGAGCAACAGAACACACGCACTTTATGGTCAACCAACAGCAAGGGAAAAGGTTTTGTTTTTTTCTTTTTGTATGTCTCTTTTTAATAAAACTGAAACAGAACCTTTATAGAAATTTGGGCTTCCATCCAATCCTTCTCAATTTCCTTAGGAGGAACTGAGTAATGGAAGCAAGTAAAGCAAGATTGTAACCACACAGGACTGCACTTGAAACA